AGGTACGTGTTGTCCTACCTTTAATAGACCTAACTTACACTGGTGACGCACTAATATGAATGGTAGGTACGTGTTGTCCTAACTATAATAGACTTAGCTCACACCGGTGACTCTCTTACATAAAAGGTAGGTACGCGTTGTCCTAACTATAATAGACCTCACACTGGTGACTCTCTAATATAAACTGTAGGTACATGTTTTCCTAACTAAAATAGATCTAACTCACACTGGTAACTCTCTAACATAAATAGTAAGTACGTGTTGTCCTGATTTTAATAGACCTAACTCACACCGGTGACTTTCTAATATAAATGGTAGGTATATGTTGTCCTAATTATGATAGACCTCACACAGGTGACTCTCTAATATAAATTGTAGGTACGTGTTGTCCTAACTATAATAGACCTCACACTGGTGACTTTCTAATATAAATGGTAGGTATATGTTGTCCTAACTATAATAGACCTCACACTGGTGACTCCCTAATATAAAGGGTAAGTACGTGTTGTCCTAACTATAATAGACCTCACACTATAATAGACCTCACACAGGTGACTCTCTAATATAAATTGTAGGTACGTGTTGTCCTAATAATCACACTGGTGACTCACTAATATAAATGGTAGGTACGTGTTGTCCTACCTATAATAGACCTAACTCACACTGGTGACTCTTTAACATAAATGGTTGGTACGTGTTGTCCTAACTATAATATAAATTGACCTCACACTGGTGACTCTCTACATAAAATGGAACACTGGTGACTCTCTAATATAAATGGGTAGGTAAGTACGTGTTGCCTACCTATAATAGACCTAACTCACACTGGTGACGCACTAATATGAATGGTAGGTACGCGTTGTCCTAACTATAATAGACCTCACACAGGTGACTCTCTAATATAAATTGTAGGTACGTGTTGTCCTAGCTATAATAGACCTCACAGTGGTGACTCTTTAATATAAATGGTAGGTACATGTTTTCCTAACTAAAATAGATCTAACTCACACTGGTAACTCTCTAACATAAATAGTAAGTACGTGTTGTCCTAATTTTAATAGACCTAACTCACACCGGTGACTTTCTAATATAAATGGTAGGTATATGTTGTCCTAATTATAATAGACCTCACACAGGTGACTCTCTTATATAAATTGTAGGTACGTGTTGTCCTAACTATAATAGACCTCACACTGGTGACTTTCTAATATAAATGGTAGGTATATGTTGTCCTAACTATAATAGACCTCACACTGGTGACTCTCTAATATAAATGGTAGGTATGTGTTGTCCTAACTAAAATGGACCTCACACTGGTGACTCTCTAATATAAATGGTAGGTACGTGTTGTACTAACCATGATAGACCTAGCTCACATTGGTGACTCTAACATAAATAGTAAGTACGTGTTGCCTACCTATAATAGACCTCACACTGATGACTCTCTAATATTTATGGTAGATACGTGTCGTCCTACCTATAATAGTCCTCACACTGGTGACTCTTTTATAGAAATGGTAATTACGTGTTGTCCTAATTTTAATAGACCTAACTCACACTGGTGACTCTCTAACATAAATTGTAGGTGCGTGTTGTCCTAACTAAAATAGATCTAACTCACATTGGTGACTAACATAAATGGTAGGTACATGTTGTCCTAAGTATAATAGACCTCACACTAATGACTCTCTAATATAAATGTTAGGTACATGTTGTCCTACCTATAATAGACCTAGCTGACACTGGTGATTCTCTAATAGAAATGGTAGGTATGTGTTGTCCTAACTTTAATAGATCTATTTCTCACCATACCTAACTTTCAAGATAGATAACTAATCCAGCTTAGACTTCAGAATTCGTCACCCTCAAGCGAATACCTTATCACGATGTCACAGAAGACTATCATCTCTAACCGTTATAGGATTGATGTGATGAAAGTCGTAATTTATCAATACAAGGTTTCAAAACATCCTGGTTCATCCAAGTTAACGATAGTCCGGGATATTACGTACGCAATTAAAAGCTTGCTTTGCCACCTAAAGCAGCATCTTCTAGATCATGTTACATATCTTGGTGATTTAATGATGTCTGCTATTAATTAGAGACAGTTTTAATCAATTTATTCTAGACTTCAGGAATGCCTTTTGAGCATGTCTTTATGAAATTATACAGCACTTTCAGTTCTTCAAATTTCTTTAATTATCAACTGTGTGTAGTATCTATCGACATCCGTGTTGATATATTAGGTAGCGCGACTTACTCTCACTATTTTCCCCATGGTGATCACTGCACACTGCGTTGTGTGATTTTAATCACATTATTGTGTTCGGTTGCCTTATCGGATTGGGTCCCGGATCTCTCGCTTGCCTTTGTACATTCCTGCTCATTGTGTTGGAGGGTGAGGGACATATAGGTATCCATTTACCTTCACCTGGTTTGTCTCCGCGAGACCCCCGTTTTGGGGGTTTATTTTAACTGATGCTGTTCGCTAGGTAAGTTTCGAATTGGGTTGAGACTGACGACACTGAAGGTGTTTGGCGCGACCATTATCAAAGGAATCAAGTTCATGGGTGCAAGTCGCCTAGTTTACGACCATTCCTGTTTCCCTTCTTTTTACTGTCAGCATATGAAGGAGAGAAGTTCTTGCTATGCGTTGCCTCAAGAGGAAAAGAAATAATTGACTTTGGCATTCCATTTAAGATTGAGCATGATATAACTGCATGTTTTGAGGCAATCAGCGTGTCGAGATGTGGCTGGAATGGGACTTCAGTCATAATGGACGACGCAAGGGTGATGTACCAGTGTTATGTTGGTGTTTCACACATGAACAGTGATGGTCAGTTGGGTGGTCGCTCAGTCATAAGATCTTCTCTTAAGCATAAGGTTAACACATGTTTGCCTTGCTTTGGCATTGCTTCACTGCTCATAATGTATGCCTTTTTGAATGGTGCACCTCGTCCATTAGCACATTCGTCATCGGATCACAATGACTACATTTGTGTTTCCCTACAGATGAAGATATCTGTTAAAGAAAGCAAGGAGGCGTAGATACAATAGCCAGATGTGTGCGGAAGTCAGCATCATGCTACCATGCTAGAGTTGAGGCCATATAACGATCAGTCATACAGTAGAAATATTTAATTGCCGTGGGATTTTCATTTTCGTGGGTACTCTAAGTCGTTGAATTTATATATCCACGAAATAATCAACGGATTAAAGGCGTCATTGATTGTGAATTATAATCAAAGTAGGCAATGCCTGAGAAAATAGTAACCCTAAAACAAACAATAGAGCATTGAACACAGATGTTCACATATGAACTCAAGGAAATAAAACATTGCTAAACGAGATCGAGTGTTTTTTCTGTCAATTGTCGAAATCTTGCATGGAAATCTCGAAATTGAAGACAATCCATTGTATTTCGGATCAACACCGACACGAAAACACCATAAATCGGGGATGCATGGTTGTTGCTATTCAGAAATGGATAGCATCACATAGCTTAATAAAAAGCTTCCGCAGTTGGTTCGGTTGTAGGAAAAGATCGAAGTAAGTGGCTGATGTAGTATTTCTTGTCCTTTAATTCTAATGTGTATAATATATATATCGTACAACAGAGATGATCATTATATCTAATACAAGGAATAATTTTTCAGAGCCGACTTGAAGGACTTAGATATCAATACCTTATCAAAAGTAGCATGCAATCTCTGTATATTTAATGAATATAATCTGTCAGATGTTTATATAAATAACTTAGTCATCATTCATTACATCGTCACCAGAAACTTGTATTCTGTTAGAGTTCGGGGTGTCCCAGTTTAATCTGGGTTCTCGTTAAGCTTGCTCTCAACAAATAATAAAACTCAAAATTGGAGAAGTACAAGGAGGAACAAGAGATTCCAAAGGGATACTGACACCCTCCATTGTTAGATCTTTATTTGTTGCTCTTTAAAAATTGGATCTTTCACTTCTAAACTCTCTCTTCGGTTTTTTTTCTTAACTACATGAAATTTGAAAATTCTTCTTAAAAGCAATTATTTTATTCTTAAACTATTAAATCCAAGATGGTCGTCTGTCGGCCATTTTATTTTCCGATCAATTCCAAAATCAGAAGAGCGCAACAAGAGGACAATGGGAATTAACATATGAAGTTTAAGAAAGATCCAAGTAGTATTTCTTAAAAAATTGCGATGACAATCTTTCATTGTCAAAATCCAAGATGGACGGCAATCAGTAATTTAGATTTTCTGATTAGTCCGAAACTGAAACGGGCATAACTTGGAATAAAGATTTACATACGACATTTGAGAAAGAACTCTTTCATTGTCAAAATTAAAGATGGCTGCTTGTCAGCCATTTCTTTCTCTACCAGCCCGAAACCAGAAGGGCATAACTACCAAGAGGTACCAAGAGGAATCTAGATATGAAATGTTTGAAAATTTCATCAAGTAATTCTCAAAATATAGTGATAACAAAACTTTCACTGTTGAAATCCAAGATGGCCATGTATATTGATATTCGTAATCATCGGTGAAACAAGAACACCTACCACAAGGTTGGTGGAAAGCTAACCGCAACAATAACACTGATCCTAGTCTATGAGACAAAGACCCCGACAACGTGCCTTGTGCAAACAGTTTTCCCTTCAACTGATGTTATCCGATCTCGCCATTCTCATTCAGTTAAATGAATGCCTACCACTAAAACCTGGAGACGCTGATGATTTACATGCTTCTGTACAAATACCGCATTATAGTAAAAGTATCCGACATTATGTAGCCCTTCGCATGTACTTGACAAACTGAAGTGCAATACGACACACAGGACATCACAGTAACTGGAAATCATTTCCTAATATGTAAAAAAAAACATCATAGTTTGAACCATGTACTTAAGTTCTGACAAAGTGTATATGATTTAACACAAATGGACAGACTACCCCGTTATAGGTTATGTCTCCTTTTATTGACCAATAATTACAACACAAACACATCAGATTTATCATCATGATTTTATGACAGAATCTGAGAAGAACAATATACAGGTAGTGTATTTACACTTCTTCATCAAGACCGACATCTTTTTTATCTAAAATTAATAATCATTTCGGTAATTTATCAAATTTTGACATTTTCATGAAACTCAAATATTAACATTAGATTAATGTTTTTCAAATTCAAAGTTCCAATATTTTCAAAAACATCAGAAAAAGAAAGGGAAAATATTGCTTTCATACTCCCCCTGAAGTAAACTAGGCAGTACACTTCCAGATTTTTTCTACCTAAACACAGTCACAAGGATGTTTTGATGTTAGCAGTTACAGGCTGTCAACTAGAATAATAAACTTTATTACACAAATCAGAGCATTCCCTGCTAAATACAGTCTACAACATTGTCTAAAACATTCTGAATTATTGACCACGCTGTCCATTTCTGTACAGAAATCAGTTCACAGCACATTTGGAAACATATTATAGAAATTATTATACACTTCACCCAGAATGCCATTTTGAACAATTCCTATCATACATAGAGCTTTTCTTCTTCTTCGTCTCCTTTTGAACGAATTCATCTCACCAATGCCACCAAAATATTTTCCTGCATACAAATACCTCTATTTTATTTTCAGACAAAATTATCAAATGTGACTTAACAGCTCGCGAAGAAAATTACGAAATGTAAAATTTCTACCCTGACAATAACTATTACGATTATATATACATACATATATACACACAACACTATGTTCTGGCATGTACACAACAACACATAGCATTATAACAAAATAGCAAGAAGTTGGATGTTCAAAATCTTGTTTCCCACACTTATAGATATTTTATCTCTGGTATGAGACTTTTACCATCAAATTAGTTTTTGAGATAATCACGTTTAAGCTCAACTGTCACTATATTTTCAATGTTTGATCTAATTATATATACATCAGTAATAGAGTAATTGAAAAACAATCTGTCAAATTTACAGATCAGGATTCAAGAGAGAATTGTCTGAAATCTTAAAATAATTCCATAAATATTAAATTTGTCAATTTTCCCTTGTTTTGATTTTAGTGATATTTACCTGCTGGTTGATATATGACATATCGACTCATTTTTTGTAAATTTAGAACAGCCAGGCCATATGTAGACCGATAAATGATTTATGGGGTACGTATATTTGAGGATAATTTGGAATATTCTTAATCAGGTATTTATTCATTGAAAGATTTAATTTTAAGAAAATAAATACATTCGTAAATTATTGGTGTATTTATCTGAATTTTTAATTAAGATGAGTCTTTTTCATGAGGATATATAAGGCAATAATAGAATTACCAGTACATCTATAACACTGTCAAAATACTAAGGACTTTTGATTCTAATTTTTTCGATCAATGTATTAGTATATGGGCCAAGTAGAAACTACTGACAAAAGGCAAAAGGCAGAAAGGATAAATATCAATATAGAATGATAACATTGAAGCAGTAAGTCTGACATCATTTATTTATTTGATGTGTAATGTGCAATGTACCTACACTGCCTTAGAAATAGAAGTAAGAGACAACAATATATTATTCTAAAAGAAATACGAAAGTGACTGATGATTATAATGCGAGATGATTTACAATTGACACAGGTGGGAAAACCTACACTTATCAATACCATCATGTTAGTAATATTACTTACTGTATCAACTTGTTAATGACGACTCTGAAGACAGGAAATTACAAATAAACTCCTATCTTTTCCAATATTCCAGATTGAATCAATTTTTTCATTTTAATTCATTTATAAAACATCAATAACAAATGTGAATTAAAATGTCTTATATTTATCATTTTTGTTTGCCTCAGTGGATCTATCACATTACATGGAATCTCTGTGAATATCAGAGTACAAAGAGAACGCCCTACTGGTCAATCACAAAACCCAATAATTTCATGTTTAATTGAGGGAATCAAACCTCAGTTGTCATGGTGATAGATAAATACTGTATCCACAGCATCATCTGATTACCAAGCTTTCTAATCAGGAAACAAACTGAAGAAGCCTACTTAAATCAAAATTCTTTGAGATGAACGAACTTTCCCCCAAGTAACTTTCAACATATCTCTTCAAGTATAACAATGAAGGAGGCAAAACTTACAGTTTACAAAGTTAAAGAGTATAATGCCACAGTAAATTCTTTGTTCTATCTGTTATCAAACAAACATGTAAATTCTGAAGTACACAGATATATCAGTTCACAGTAAACCATTCTTTTATAAAATATGACCACCTTGTCTCTAAATTCTTTCAGAGTTTGCCTTGTGTATTCTTTTCTATATTGTTTAATCTGTGTTACACTAGACAGATAGGTTGAGTTTCATGAAGTTTCAGTGTAATAAATACAAATAGCATCAATAAAAATAGCGATAATACAAAAACACATCATAACAAAAAAAGCAAGTTTTACAGAAAGAAGTTATTCTCTAATACTTTTGACACAGTCCCAAGTAATTTCAGAATTACTGAGGGATAATGTTTATTCATAATATATGTTCTTTTCAAAAGGAACATATCATGCATGAAGACAAGGCTACCTAACTCCATTTTCAATCTAATATATGTAAAATAGATCAATATTGATGAATAATTCATTGGTCTAATGAGAAGAAAACATTAAAAAAAACAAATTTCTGTTTTTAATATTTATACACAACACCTACCTGGTATAGACTAGTATGTAGGACGATGTAACCACTGTGTGACAATTTCCATGAAATATCAACACAATCCAAGTTTGGTTTTGTGTTTACATTCAGACATCAAGACATATTTTGCTAAATATTCTACAATTCAGAAATTCAGGGAAGTAATTTTTTTCCTTTTTCTTTGGCCTTGACTATCTTGGCCGCACACTGAACTAGAAGTAAAGCTAAATCAAACAAGATAAAAAACAGGACAAATGAAATAGAATAGTAAGTGTTCTTCTGCCAACACATATCTGGAATATCACATCAGTCTGAACATCATCACAACTCTTGAGAGAACTGCTCAAAAAGTCGTTCATGTTTTCCAACCTTGCCTCATGGAGAATTTTATCACTGACAGTTACATAAACTTAATGACTCCTTAAAAGGGCCTGCCTTCTTAAATCCTCCCTTATGAGTTGTGTTCTTTAGCTGAATTCTCGGTTGCGGAGGATCAGAGGTGCTACCAGCGTCCAGACATAAAGGGTTAAGCAAACCCAGGTCGAGGAGATCTTTACCCACAGCGCAGGCATGTTGAAGTTCAGAGTGTTAAAGTCAGAACTCGGGCTGCAAAGAGACAGCAGATAAAAATTTCATTATTTCGACCTAGTAAAGCAAAAAAGGAAACTCAAAACTACAAGGACATTTTGTGGAATATGTCATCCGCTATAGACATTCGGAACATTATTACGTTTTTTTGTTAGGGATCTCTATTGAATCCTTACTGGATCCACTCGAGGACGCTACTCTAATGAATTCTATACGGATCCACCTGAGGACGTTCTCTAATGAATCCCAACTGGATCCACCTGAGGATGTTCTCTAATGAACCCTAACTGGATCCACCTGAGGATGTTCTCTAATGAACCCTAACTGGATCCACCTGAGGATGTTCTCTAATGAACCCTAACTGGATCCACCTGAGGACACTACTCTAATGAACCCAAGTCATCATGACATACAGGGCGCCCAGATACAACATGAAGTGGAAGAAATTACCTACATGTACCAGTTGGTGTCATCATGACATACAGGGCGCCCAGACACAACATGAAGTGGAAGAAACTGTACCTACCTGTACCAGTTGGTGAGAGTCATCATGACATACAGGGCACCCAGACACAACATAAAGTGGAAGAAATGTACCTACCTGTACCAGTTGGTGAGAGTCATCATGACATACAGGGCACCCAGACACAACATGAAGTGGAAGAAACTGTACCTACCTGTACCAGTTGGTGAGAGTCATCATGACATACAGGGCACCCATACACAACATGAAGTGGAAGAAACTGTACCTACCTGTACCAGTTGGTGAGAGTCATCATGACATACAGGGCGCCCAGACACAACATGAAGTGGAAGAAACTGTACCTACCTGTACCAGTTGGTGAGAGTCATCATGACATACAGGGCACCCAGACACAACATGAAGTGGAAGAAACTGTACCTACCTGTACCAGTTGGTGAGAGTCATCATGACATACAGGGCACCCAGACACAACATGAAGTGGAAGAAACTGTACCTACCTGTACCAGTTGGTGAGAGTCATCATGACATACAGGGCACCCAGACACAACATGAAGTGGAAGAAACTGTACCTACCTGTACCAGTTGGTGAGAGTCATCATGACATACAGGGCACCCAGACACAACATGAAGTGGAAGAAACTGTACCTACCTGTACCAGTTGGTGAGAGTCATCATGACATACAGGGCACCCAGACACAACATGAAGTGGAAGAAACTGTACCTACCTGTACCAGTTGGTGAGAGTCATCATGACATACAGGGCACCCAGACACAACATGAAGTGGAAGAAACTGTACCTACCTGTACCAGTTGGTGAGAGTCATCATGACATACAGGGCACCCAGACACAACATGAAGTGGAAGAAACTGTACCTACCTGTACCAGTTGGTGAGAGTCATCATGACATACAGGGCACCCAGACACAACATGAAGTGGAAGAAACTGTACCTACCTGTACCAGTTGGTGAGAGTCATCATGACATACAGGGCACCCAGACACAACATGAAGTGGAAGAAACTGTACCTACCTGTACCAGTTGGTGAGAGTCATCATGACATACAGGGCACCCAGACACAACATGAAGTGGAAGAAACTGTACCTACCTGTACCAGTTGGTGAGAGTCATCATGACATACAGGGCACCCAGACACAACATGAAGTGGAAGAAACTGTACCTACCTGTACCAGTTGGTGAGAGTCATCATGACATACAGGGCACCCAGACACAACATGAAGTGGAAGAAACTGTACCTACCTGTACCAGTTGGTGAGAGTCATCATGACATACAGGGCACCCAGACACAACATGAAGTGGAAGAAACTGTACCTACCTGTACCAGTTGGTGAGAGTCATCATGACATACAGGGCACCCAGACACAACATGAAGTGGAAGAAACTGTACCTACCTGTACCAGTTGGTGAGAGTCATCATGACATACAGGGCACCCAGACACAACATGAAGTGGAAGAAACTGTACCTACCTGTACCAGTTGGTGAGAGTCATCATGACATACAGGGCACCCAGACACAACATGAAGTGGAAGAAACTGTACCTACCTGTACCAGTTGGTGAGAGTCATCATGACATACAGGGCACCCAGACACAACATGAAGTGGAAGAAACTGTACCTACCTGTACCAGTTGGTGAGAGTCATCATGACATACAGGGCACCCAGACACAACATGAAGTGGAAGAAACTGTACCTACCTGTACCAGTTGGTGAGAGTCATCATGACATACAGGGCACCCAGACACAACATGAAGTGGAAGAAACTGTACCTACCTGTACCAGTTGGTGAGAGTCATCATGACATACAGGGCACCCAGACACAACATGAAGTGGAAGAAACTGTACCTACCTGTACCAGTTGGTGAGAGTCATCATGACATACAGGGCACCCAGACACAACATGAAGTGGAAGAAACTGTACCTACCTGTACCAGTTGGTGAGAGTCATCATGACATACAGGGCACCCAGACACAACATGAAGTGGAAGAAACTATAACTGTAAGCTACACTATCTTCTTCATTGTCCCAGACGTTTTGACCACCTTTCTCTTCATCCTTGTCAGATTCTGATGAAGCTGTAAAAAATTAATGTAAGACTGCATTACTTTGTCAAGCACAATGATGTCTGCTTGGCATTGAAGCCAACTCTGGCATACCAGAATTTAAACAATAAATCTATTTTGTTTTGTAATAATAAGCTTTTCAAATATAAATCTGATGATTTAAACAAACATATGACAGTCAATCAGTGTGAATTACATGTTAATAAATAATAACATAGTGGAGTCCAGATATATGTTGTTGGTTTTTTGCAGTTGTTAATTGCCACAAACATGTAATGGGAAAAGTTAGTGTCCATGTAAAAATGTTATTTTACTGGGTATTTAATGTAGCTTTGAACATGCTAGAAAATTACTGTCAGTCTATTACAAGGAACACAGTTTGTTCAGCAGGTTCTATAATATAGCTTTTACATTGGACAAAATCCAAGAGCATCACAGACTAAAAAAATTTGTGGCAAAAATTCACAAGACATCATTCAGGCTTATAAAAGTAAAACTTTCACATCTGCTCACTGAGAACTTTATGTTTTTATATCACTGTCAGTGTCCAGCAGACAGACATTATCTTGGTATATTTTTCATGATGAACCAATTGGTATTAATAAGCTTTAAATGGAAATTCAAACTTCAGTCATATATATTCTGTGGATATTTCATGATAACATAAACGTATCTTTAAAAGAAATTCAAAATCAAGATGTTACTTAAAACTAGGGAAAAGCACTGCAGAAATTAAATCACACTTGACTAAATGGTATTGAGTTGGACACAATCTAAGTCAGCCAATTTCTATTATATTTTATGATTATCCAATCTTGCCCTATATATGGTCTTTTCTGGCATTTGGCAAAACAAAATCCCATCATCTGGTAAATCTTAGCTGATAAAGGGATTTTTTATAGAGCATTTAAATGTAATGACACAACTGTAATTTGGCATCAAAGTCAACTGAAAAAAAAAAAAACATGTCGAAATGGAATATTAAACTTTGTCTGTCGTTCTGATAATGATTGAGAAGATTCCTTTTTAAAAGTAAATGCCAAGCCCTGAACCAATTTTGAGGCAAAAGTAAAATGGCTTATTTGATCTCAAGTCGGACACTTTCTAGCTAATACTACACACAAAAGAGTGTGATAATATGGTGAATAATCAAAATATTGGACAGTTAAAGACATATGGCAAGTTTTTAAAGACTCAGTTTGAAGATTGAAGTCATATTCCTCCAACAAGAAAGAATTAAATTGCATCCCAGTTTGCATTTACATAGACGAGAAGATGATTTGGTTGCTGAACAATGGTAAGGTTACTCCCATCCCTTTGGTTCTGAATCCACCAATAACTATATACATCCTCTCAGAATGTCACAATAATCACCAGCCATTTCCTTGAATTGGTCAATAGTCAGGACAAATAATATCAGTCAATATTTATTTTTACAAGTTTACTTAATTGTTATATGGTAAAAGTTGTCCAACAATGCACAGAAAAGCATGACCTTTCAGACAATATCCATTGTGTAACGGTAGATTATTCTAAACATGTTCAGTGTCCACTCGAAGAGGTAAAGTGTCCAACTCACAAGCAATTAATGAGAAAGTGATGGTAAAAGCATTAGTACAGGTTAGTAAAAAATGCAAAGCTTCAGACAAAATCAATCTGGCACATTGCTTTTCAGCTAGGACTTGTATCTGATGGCCTGAAAAAAGTTTTGTTTCTGAATTATTTTAAAGCTTAAAGGGACATCACCATAGCATCAATAGAAATTAAAAGGGTATGTTGTTTACACCTATATCTAGATGCTACTTCACTTCCTGTTTCTCCACTCAATTTTTTCAGGTTTGTTATAGCACTTACAGTATAAATAGTGATTAACAAATTATAAAATGGGGCTGTCACATTTGTTTGTGACTTTCTAATTAATTTACATCAACAGCAGTGATAAAGAATTAAAACACTTGTTTTCTAGGAAAATAAAATTTCTAAACATTCCAGTGTCCACAACAGGTTACACTATAAATTGTGTAGCTATTTAAAACATTTGTTATTTCACAATCACTATTTCCCCCTTGCGGCCCCCTTTGAAAAGCACATTTACATTTCCACTTAGTTTACTTTCCTGATCCTAAGATTTTCTTTCCACAATTTGGGAACTCTTGACTTTGTAGCTGATAAAATAACTTTTTTTAGCCACTGCTTCATGAAAGACACCATATTGTTTACAATAACAAATTCTTTAACACAAGCACAGTCAGTCCTTCTGAGCTTTGGTGAGTATGAAAAGTTATGTTTAATCACTGGTTGATAAACAAGAGATTTCCATTTAATTTAAAAATCATTAAATGTTCAATTCAGTTCTCAGTAAATTTTCACCCAAATTTTTCATTAGGATCTGAAACCAGAGCATTTAAGATAAGAGAGAAAAAAATTACTTCATCTTAATGTCGTTTTTTTATTTCACAGATCAGTGGTAAGATTTTTATTATATTCAACTTATATTTTAATATCATATCTGTCAAAGAGAAGCAGCATAGCGAGTAATATTCAGTAAAATCTGAAACAAAAATTTTTTCAACATATGCCAGAAACTACAGTGTACAATTTGAATCATAAGGTCAATGAACCATGCTTTTTCTGAAGCAATGATTCAGGAACTCTATGTCTTATCTAAAATACCCTTGGGTGGATATTAAAAATTGATCATTGTACTGACAGAAAAAAAAATATGCAAGAAAAATTATCATGAGAATTTAAGGAATATGAAAAATTTAATGTGGATAAAGTAAATTTAAGTTAGAACTTGAAAAAAAATAAACAACATCAAGTAACATCAGGCATAGCCAAGCTACCTAAAATTACAAGTCAGGTGTAGCCCAGTTACCTTAAATTATAAGTCAGGCGACGTCCGACCTTAGATTACAGGTCAGGTGTTGCACAGCTACCTTAAATTACAAGTCAGGTGTAGCCTAATTACCTTAAATTACAAGGCAGGTGTAGCCTAGTTACCTTAAATTACAAGTCAGGTGTAGCCTGGTTACCTTAAATTACAAGTCAGGTGTAGCCCAGCTACCTTAAATTACAAGTCAGGTGTAGCCTAGTTACCTTAAATTACAAGTCAGGTGTAACCTAGTTACCTTAAATTACAAGTCAGGTGTAGCCTAGTTACCTTAAATTACAAGTCAGGTGTAGCCTAGTTACCTTAAATTACAAGTCAGGTGTAGCCTAGTTACCTTAAATTACAAGTCAGGTGTAGCCTGGTTACCTTAAATTACAAGTCAGGTGTAGCCTAGTTACCTTAAATTACAAGTCAGGTGTAGCCTGGTTACCTTAAATTACAAGTCAGGTGTAGCATAGTTACCTTAAATTACAAGTCAGGTGTAGCATAGTTACCTTAAATTACAAGTCAGGTGTAGCCTAGTTACCTTAAATTACAAGTCAGGTGTAGCCTAGTTACCTTAAATTACAAGTCAGGTGTAGCCTGGTTACCTTAAATTACAAGTCAGGTGTAGCCTGGTTACCTTAAATTACAAGTCAGGTGTAGCCTGGTTACCTTAAATTACAAGTCAGGTGTAGCCTAGTTACCTTAAATTACAAGTCAGGTGTAGCCTGGTTACCTTAAATTACAAGTCAGGTGTAGCCTGGTTACCTTAAATTACAAGTCAGGTGTAGCCTAGTTACCTTAAATTACAAGTCAGGTGTAGCCTAGTTACCTTAAATTACAAGTCAGGTGTAACCTAGTTACCTTAAATTACAAGTCAGGTGTAGCCTGGTTACCTTAAATTACAAGTCAGGTGTAGCCTGGTTACCTTAAATTACAAGTCAGGTGTAGCCTAGTTACCTTAAATTACAAGTCAGGTGTAACCTAGTTACCTTAAATTACAAGTCAGGTGTAGCCTGGTTACCTTAAATTACAAGTCAGGTGTAGCCTGGTTACCTTAAATTACAAGTCAGGTGTAGCCTAGTTACCTTAAATTACAAGTCAGGTGTAGCCTAGTTACCTTAAATTACAAGTCAGGTGTAGCCTAGTTACCTTAAATTACAAGTCAGGTGTAGCCTGGTTACCTTAAATTACAAGTCAGGTGTAGCCTAGTTACCTTAAATTACAAGTCAGGTGTAGCCTAGTTACCTTAAATTTCAAGTCAGGTGTAGACTAGTTACCTTAAATTACAAGTCAGGTGTAGCCTGGTTACCTTAAATTACAAGTCAGATGTAGCCTGGTTACCTTAAATTACAAGTCAGGTGTAGCCTAGTTACCTTGAATTTCAGTTTACTAGAGACTATTATTGACTGATAGAACTTTTATTGAATATCTCAAGAGAAGTGAAGCCCAACATGACTTGATAATGTAAATACAATGTACATTTATCTTTAGGTTCATTCTGGACATAGCGACAAAGAGAGAAAATTCATACTAGGACCAAAGGACAGACAAAAATGTGGCTATATACCCACCTTTACTAACCATGGACGAATGGATAGATAAAGTGATTAACTAGAATATTTTTTTCAATTCATATCACACCACTTTCAATAGTTAATTCATATGCAGCTAGAATCTGGCTAAAAGACGAATTTGTTAACTGAGTTCCCTTAGAATTTATCGACATTAATCAAAGTTGACACAAAGAAACCAATTAACCAATCGGGAAAGAAGTACATGTACCTCACAAACTCCCTTTTAGTAGACAAATGGATGAAAGGACAGAAAACAGACAAACTCATACGAAGAAAGTACACAGCTGCCTCCTGTTGTAAATGGAGGTGAGATGCAATGATAGTCCTGGAACAGCTAACACTCAAAGGAAGAAGAGGATGAATGTGTCACCTTTACAAATGTACATAAGATCTAGGAATAAGTGACAGAGGAAATGAGTAGATTACAGAGAATCACACAATGAAATCTGGTTACCATGACTACAAAATGTAATCAAATCTGGTTACCATGACTACAAAATATCATATCTGGTTATCTTCACTACAAAACACTACAAGATTTGGTTAATATGACTACAAACATAAACACAGCAACACTATACACACCTTGATAATCAGCTGTAAACAATAACAAAATAGCAATGCACGTCATGCAAAAATAAAAAAAATTACCTGATATGCAATACATTTGGTGTATGAAATAAAATTACTAAAGAACACTAGTTGAAAAACCTGACAGGGCGACTGTTTTTCCCGCAGCAATTAATACTATTCAGAGATTTGGCAATATTCATTTAAAATCATATAAAAACCTTGGATATCAATAACTCACAATAGTTTATAAATACTATGTCATGTAATAGGGGGCGAGCAAAACTCTATGTAAAAAAAAAAAAAAGCATGCACTAGCCATACAGGATTGAGCTCTGAAGCAGTACAACTAATACTGTAGCTGACACAGAATTTTTTGCAAAACAATAAGTCATATCTGGTAAAGAATGTTATATTTATCATCCAAATTCTAAATCCATAGATTTCAGTTTTTTAATGCAATCTCTAAATTATTTTTAAAGTTCATTTTTGTTGAATGCCTTGCAATGACGTCTACAATCTGACATATAAACAATTTCCTTGTTTTGTTTTAGGTTTTCTTTTAAATTTGTCAATTTTGCAAGAAGCATATATCTGGTAATAAGCTCACCCACATGTACTGATGTTTAGAGAAATGCTTACAAATAATGCTTACAAACGCTAAATCATTGTCCTATTAATAGCATTATAGTTAGGTATTGATCATATCAATTTAATATTAAACAATTCAGGAATTAAGACATACCTAACATCTCAGAACATTTTTCTCTGGTTGCTAACGTCTATTGCCTACAAGTTCTTATAACACAACCAATAAGAAAATTATGTTTGACATTTCAATGATTACCTTGTCTGATGAAGGTGGTGAAAATATCGGAACATCAAACATAATTTTCTTTCACGTAGGAACTTCTATTCGATAGAATTAGAAATTGTTTTGTATATACCGTTCATTTACGTTGAAAGTTACCTATTAAAGGTGAACTGTGTTTAGTAGGTATACTGTAATAAATAAATCATTTGGTCCAATATAGCATTTCAGATGTACTGAACTAATTAAAAGGGAGTGAGTTTTATAAAACAAACTAGCTTGCTTTTACTTTCTATGGCTGGAACTGTTGGATCAGAATTCCTTGTATTATACTTATACAAGTAACGAAAAATGTCATCATTTACTTTGTAGAAATTAAAAAGTTCCATCCTTTACAAGTAAAATGAGCTGAATGAACTGTTCCAACCACATAAAAGTAAAAATGCTTCAAAGGTGGCTAAAGCATTACAAATACAAATCAAAATTATTGAGAAATGAACGACAGTTCCAACCACATAGAAGTAAACATCCAAGATCACTTACATAGAAGACTTTCCCCTGAAGAGTTGTTAAAGGGACATAATTCTGAACAGTACTGTAGATCAGGTCAACTTTCATAACATGCAAATCATATTAGTAAAATTAATTCCTTACATGTATTATTTACTTGAATAGATTTAGAATAAAATTGCATGCCTATGTTGATAAATAAAGACAAGTTTAGTATAAATCTGTTTTTCACATTTTTGAATGGTGAATTAAAGGGAAAATTTTCTAAATAATAACCAAAAAATTTTGAATGGTTGTTGTAAAATATTGTACAAACGACACACAAATGAATAGCACCTTTAAACACAAATTCAGAGTGTGATACAGTAGAGTTAAACAATAATTTAAACTGCATCATACAGCTGTTTCATCCTTTCTAGGACTTCATGAGATTTTTTCAATCTTTAAAGATTCTAAATTTATATTTTCATATGTATCTTTGGTTAATCAGCACTAAATTTCCATTTGTTCAATATCCATGTGAATCATATCCTCCATGACATCTTGTCATAATATTTTCGGTCACAGGAACTGACCGACCTCTACTACCTACCTGTGTCAGACTGCAGGATTGTTTTTTCAGACATGGTCAACTTGCCCACTTGGCTATTAGTGGAGGTTCTGATGCTAAAATATTCAAAATGAAAATGTATTAAAATCTGTTTCTTTCATATTCCATAAGGCACTCTGAAAGCAATCAGTCGCTGACCATACATTTTACATGTTTGGCACAAGTTTCTGATAAACCATTCATCTAAATCATTTGAATCACAATAATATCTTCTGGACTTTCACGGTTACTTTGAAGCCATAGCGGAAACCTTTCACATCCTGGGATCGATAGGTCATGGGGTTATTTGTCTAATTCTAGAGCGACCGCCATGCTTGTTTACAATATGAATGGCTTTGTGTAACTTACAAGAAGAAATAATACAGGATTATAAGAATTTGTTTACTAAACGTATGTAAGGTCAGGCCCTACTTCTGTATGTAGACAATCAGTGAAGGCACTCAAGCCAACCAAGTTTGATCTTTGCAATTTACCTTTTTGAAATACATCAATAAAATAAAGGATTATCAGTATATACCCTGTAATTCATTTGCAAACTTGATTAAATGTTTCACTAACAATCTTTATACATTGTCCCCTGTTGTCCGTTATATCAACAAACTTTGGTCCATGTATCAGTTAATACTTTGTAAGAGCTGCCTTCCATTAAATGTTAACAGTATATCAAACACCAACATAGTGGTCACCATATCATAAGAAAATGCATGACTTATATTCTGGTGCAGCTTATATGTAGAACATATGAGAAAAAATCGCTAAAAAAGGCCCTGCTGTTCATTTACTGGTGCTGCTTATAGCCTGGTAACAGTAATAACTTAATGGTGTCGAGGAAAGGCCTGTCAGCACCCAAATTTTTCAAGGAAAGTCCAGGCTTTGTCTGAAATGGTGAAGAATGCCGAGAACATTATTACCTGTTGGTCTGATGTTTAAGGCAAGTACCTGGAATTCTAACCTATAGTTTAGGACCTGTGGTCAGATGTCCTAGGTAGGTACCCAGAAGTCTTACCTGGAGTAAAGGACAGCAAAGAGCCAGAGAAGGAGAGCCAACAAACTCTGGTAGTCAAATTGTCCAAACACCATGGAGCCACTTGAAGCAGATGAAGACGGTGAGGATGTAATGTTTCCACTAAATATCTCAGGCAGACTTGGGTTACATGAGCGATCTGTAATAATTAATGAATGTTAAAAATTCTGGTTTGTATCCTGTCTTACTGAACAACTATTCCAATATTTAAATGTTTGTTACACTTCCTTCTTTTTACTTAACTTTACAAAATGTCAAAAACAGCAAAACTGACAATCTCACAAAGCTTCAAAAAAAAAAAATATTAATTTCATGGCTAACAATCAATTTACAATCAAATCATACCTGGGTTGTTTGACATGGCTGACCAGGTCAGATACTGGACATAGAGTGTGATGACCGCTGACTGCAACAAGCCAGATCTGGGGTTCACTGCAGAGTAGAAATACACAATATTTATACAACAGACTAGACCTAGGAATCCTCAAGATCATCATAGTGTTGGATTCCATTGATGTTTCTTGATCAGTCTAACGTTGTTTGACCGACGTTTCTGAATCATTACTACTGCAGTAAGTATTCACAGTATCTTAGCTTTATAAAATAAGAGTTTGCTTACCTTCCTGGACCATTGGTAAGATGGCAAGGACAGACACAGCTGCACACAGGATCAAGTTAAAACTCACAAAGAACTTGTGTAGGCTGCAGTCTCCCTGTAAATATCCATTATCAATGAATTTATAAACCCTACAAAATTGTATTGACAGCATTCTCTGAGTCTCAATCCATACCATTTATACTGAAAATTTGTAATCCATAGTGGTTCTATACTAAATATATTCATATAGATTCTCAGTTCATACAGATTCCAAACTGAATTCATATGGATTCATGATCCGATATTGCTTCTATGCTGAATCTCTATAAATTCTAATGTTCTATGCTAACTGTTTTAATTCATGTGCATTCAAAAATTTAACCCATAATGGATTACAACAAACTGAATATGGATTTGATTCCGACAGCACTCATTCCACTAATTATTACTGCTTTTTTTGGATTTTTTTTATTACTGACCATAAAAATATGTGTTTACTGACCATGAAAAACTATAATATCTGTTAACATCAAAAGTGAGTACACCTGTGTAACAGAATAGCCTCTACTAGAGACATTATGGTACACCGGTGTTACAAAAAACCTCTACTAGAGACATTATGGTACACCGGTGTAACAGAATAGTCTCTACAAGAGACATTATGGTACACCGGTGTAACAGAATAGCCTCTACTAGAGACATTATGGTACACCGGTGTAACAGAAAAACCTCTACTAGAGACATTATGGTACACAGGTGTAACAGAATAGTCTCTACAAGAGACATTATGGTACACCGGTGTAACAGAATAGCTTCTACTAGAGACATTATGGTACACCGGTGTAACAGAAAAACCTCTACTAGAGACATTATGGTACACCGCAGGGCTCCAAGTGGCACATCAGATTTGGTCACCATTTGGTGACCATGTTCAAATTTTAGTCGCCATTCTAAAAATTTTAGTCGCCTTAATGTTAAGCAGAAAATATTTGTTGTTTTTTACATTTAGTTTCATTGGTGTTGTGTTTAAAACATCATTATTTCTTTCATATTGCGAGATAAAGAAGAAATTCAGTCAGTGTTTGCTATTTTTATTTTCCTGAAGTTTATGCAGTGTCATGTGTCTCAACTGGCCAACCAGTATATTGACAAGGTTTCTTTGCTTTTCTTGCTGTAGCAAACCACAAATCTATGCATGGCTTGGCACTGAACTTGTCCACAGAAGTGATCCAACGTGCGTTTGGACGCCATTTTGGATAGCACACAATATCGTAGTCAGTTTACTTAAACGCTTTATAGTATCTGATTCAAAGTGTTAAGCGCCGAGAAGACCAAGATGCGGCGATTGTAAAAGAAGAAATGGAATTGTCTGGATTTTGAAAATAGGTCGCCAAATGGCGACAGCAAATGAGTTTTAGTCGCCATTTCTAAATTTTAGGCGCAAATGCGACCATTTTGGTCCCAATTTGGAGCTCTGCACCTGTGTAACAGAAAAATCTCTACTAGAGACATTATGGTATACCAGAGTAACAGAATAGCCTCTACTAGAGACATTATGGTACACCGATGTAACAGAATAGCCTCTACTAGAGACATTATGGTACACCAGTGTAACAGAATAGCCTCTACTAGAGACATTATGGTACACCAGTGTAACAGAAAAACCTCTACTAGAGACATTATGGCACACCGGTGTAATAGAAAAACCTCTACTAGAGACATTATGGCACACCGGTGTAATAGAAAAACCTCTACTAGAGACATTATGGCACACCGGTGTAATAGAAAAACCTCTACTAGAGACATTATGGTACACCAGAGTAACAGAATAGCCTCTACTAGAGACATTATGGTACACCGATGTAACAGAAAAACCTCTACTAGAGACATTATGGTACACCGGTGTAACAGAAAAACCTCTACTAGAGACATTATGGTACACCAGAGTAACAGAATAGCCTCTACTAGAGACATTATGGTACACCGGTTAACAGAAAAACCTCTACTAGAGACATTATGATACACCTGTGTAACAGAAAAACCTCTACTAGAGACATTATGGTACACTGGTGTTACAAAAAACCTCTACTAGAGACATTATGGTACACTGGTGTAACTGAATAGCCTCTACAAGAAACATTATGGTACACCAGTGTAACAGAATAACCTCTACTAGAGATGTTATGGTACACTGGTGTAACAGAATAACCTCTACTAGAGACATTATGGTACACCGATGTAACAGAAAAACCTCTACTAGAGACATTATGGTACACCAGAGTAACAGAAAAACCTCTACTAGAGACATTATGGTACACCTGTATAACAGAAAAACCTCTACTAGAGACATTATGGTACACCAGTGTAACAGAAAAACCTCTACTAGAGACATTATGGTACACCTGTATAACAGAAAAACCTCTACTAGAGACATTATGGTACACCAGAGTAACAGAATAGCCTCTACTAGAGACATTATGGTACACCAGTGTAACAGAAAAACCTCTACAAGAGACATTATGGTACACCAGTGTAACAGAATAACCTCTACTAGAGATGTTATGGTACACCGGTTAACAAAAAAAACTCTACTAGAGACATTATGGTACACCTGTGTAACAGAAAAACCTCTACTAGAGACATTATGGTACACTGGTGTAACTGAATAGCCTCTACAAGAGACATTATGGTACACCAGTGTAACAGAATAACCTCTACTAGAGACGTTATGGTACACTGGTGTAACAGAATAACCTCTACAAGAGACATTATGGCACACCGGTGTAATAGAAAAACCTCTACTAGAGACATTATGGCACACTGGAGTAACAGAATAGCCTCTACTAGAGACATTATGGTACACAGGTGTAACAGAAAAACCTCTACTAGAGACATTATGGTACACCGGTGTTACAAAAAACCTCTACTAGAGACATTATGGCACACCGGCGTAATAGAAAAACCTATACTAGAGACATTATGGTAAACCGGTGTTACAAAAAAACTCTACTAGAGACATTATGGTACACCGGTGTTACAAAAAAACTCTACTAGAGAAATTACGGTAACTTAAATATAAGGAATTTACCTTGGCATAATACACATAGAACAGTATGATGGCCACAAGAGCGAGAATGTAGAAGATGATGGTAAAAAACAGCAGTCCTGAAAAAAATTTAAACACTTGTTAATTTATTTCTGTATATCAAAAAAGAAATGTACACATATATTTACAAACATACTCATTTCAGATTTTCATATACCTTCAAACTGTAGTAAACATTTTACTGGAAAACACACTTCTGATTTATTCAAGTTCAGTAGACTTGTTTTTAATGATGATGATCAATTGTGATAAACAGCTTCAGTAACTTTGATAAGATCTGTGTGAACCATTTTCTCATACCGAAGTAATAGCATTTGGATTCAGTTTCCTCATATTTTTCCACCCAGCTCTCCGCCCATCCATGCGCAAAGTCAATGATGAGAATCAGTTGGATGAGTATAAACAGGAAAGCTCCAATCATACCGATGACCATCCACACTAAAAAAAAGGTTCCAGGATTTTCTTTTATCACAGAAAATGAATAATCTTTCTATTTACTTTATTTATTTACTTGGACATCCACAGATATTTTTTTAAAAATTTAAAAAAAAAAAAACAAATTACTTTAACAGATCTTTAGAACAATGATAAATTGCACAGGTACTAGAAGCAGTAGGTGGAATCCCTCAGGCGTCATTGACAATATCACGACAACAAAACAATTCCCAAAGTTTTCAAGTATTAATTACAAATACATAAATATATCATGTAACATTACATCTAGATGTCTCTTAATATTTTAAACACATTTACATAAAATCTAGAAATGTCAGCAGACACTGTATTTACAACCAGTATAAGTTAAAACAAGACAGTATACCTAATCACTGAACTTAAATATTGATAAACGCACACAGTATCTTTTAAGGTGTAAATACAGTGGAACCTGCTTATCATCCTCAGTTTTTCATAAATTATAACATCGCAGACACCATAATAAACTGAATCAAAGTACTGAAAGTACTGGTATGCTAAGACCATTGAAAAAATAAGTTCTTTGTTATTAGCTTGCTATATACTGAAACCAACTATATGCAAGCAGTAAATCATTGCAGCCCATAAAAAATGACCAGCAGATATCAGAAATAACAAGCATAGTAGTATTACTTATGCAATACATGTCCCAAGTAGGCTCAAAGATGCAATGATAGGGAAGTTGTCCATTTCTTTGGATACACTGTAGGAAATGTTGATCTTGGACACCATATTATCACTTTAAAGACTGTGTATCTTGTTGGTTTAAGACCATTAGTTAGACCATCATGCAAGTAACATGCTACATACAAATATTGGGCAGCTTCATTTTCCAGATTGTTTGTAAACGACTGCATAAGAGTGCCAATTTTCTAAAACAAATATATGTCACCATAACTTAAAATAGAAGATGCCTATTCTTCCGGAACACCTGGTCTTATTCTCCTTGTACTTTTTCAGGGAATCTTGAGTAGATATTGTCTTTGTTTCAATTTTACACTTGTTTTGCTGGTTCTACAATTCTGTTGACATGTTTATATATTCTTTGTTCTCTAAAACTTGTCGCAAGATATTTTATTCCTCTTGTATTATCATTTTTTAACATCCTTACAGTGATCTTGAAATTTGCAAGATGTGAATATCTTTTAGGTTGTGAAATTTGATAGAAAAATGAGGGTAATGCAAAGAACATCCCCATGCATCTATCCGTTTTTTGACTGTGACCTTGATCTTTGACATCTGACCCTGAATTTCTAAAGAAACTGACTTCTCCTCATAAGGGATACATGTTCCAAATTTGATTAAGGTATACTGTCTTAGTCTCAATGCATTTACAAGGTAATCATATAGTACTTATGCAAGTACTGTGACCTCTACATTCAATCCTCAAAATCATTACTATATCCTCTCCACATTGCCCAGGGATAACTGAAACTGTAATCCAAATGATAACTAATACCCCCCAACACCCACAGCCTTAGTTATCTCTCCATGGTGACCTTTTGCACAGAAACATCCTCTGAAACACAGCGGCATGTGCACGTTCCCTAACATTCCTGCAAAGTTTTGTTGAAATTGGTCCACAGGTTTAGAAGTTGACTGACAAGCAAAACCCGTCTATATTGACCAGTTGCCATGGCAATCAATATTTCGAGGGAAAATGGTGCATGCACATCTACACATTGTCCTGAATATTACTGAAATGTTTCATTGGAGTTGTCCAGACAAGATGTGTCTACAGACAGACAAACAGATGGATGGACTGATAGACAACCTGATTCCAGTTTACCCACCCTTTTGGTGGTATAAGAATGCACAAGAGTGCTTACAAATTCCATGTGGACAGACATTATGGAAAAATAATAATAATAATTTTAAAAAAAAACATGATACAGATGCTTATATCTTGTTTTATTCAGTTTTTAGATACAGTATTCTTTCCATGCTTTGATCAGCAATGTAAATCTTGTCATGTCAATATCCTAGTACAAGATTTCATACACAAAATTGTTGTAGGTACACTATTAAGATACATAAAAAAAATACATGCCTAAGTTTAAATGAAGGTTTTAAACAGAAGTCATATTATTTCAGTATACAGCGATCTTTTCTACACATTTGTAAACAACAAACTCAGTATGCGGTGATCTTTTCTACAAAAAGTTTTTTTTTATATATTGTATACACTAAACTAAAAATAAATAAGTAAACCTTTCTATGTACACTACGAACTCAGTATACAGTGATCCTTTCTACACAAACTTGGTGTAACTAGTGAATCTTTCTACTCAAGTAAATTGAAGATTGTATACAAATTTACTACAAATGCAGTATACAATGATCTTTTCCACATTTTTTTAGTTTCCACGATTTGTTGTTTCTTCTTTTGTGATGGTAAATATATTGCCGCCTTTAGAAAGTACTGTGACATTAAAAGGCAACATGGTTGTTAGCATCTCCTCAAGTGATTAATCATCCTCAACATCTAATTGGAGGCCGGAAAGAAGGACGTTTTTCTCCACCATAAGGTCCTCAAATCCATTGTTGGTCACCATAGCCAATTCCAACTTAGAAGAATCAATAGAGATACCTTCTACCATTCCAGATTTCATTTCTTCAGGGACATCCACTTGCTGAAAGAGAGTAAGGGAAATAAATAACTATATTTCATTATTGCTATGATTATGTGCAAGAAATATACACTTCTGTATAAGCTTATAGTCTTCCCAATAGGAGTCTATATTAAATATACTGTCAAATTATTAAGCGATGGACAGCTAGCAAAATGATAATATCTTGACCATGGTCATACAGAGATTGAATCATAAAATTAAATTTGTGTGATAAATCTGTGCAGTATGATAATTTATTTTGACGTTTGTATTTCAAAAATCATTTTGACTTGAAAAGTAATGTGTAATTTAATTAATTACATTGGACCGTCATGTAATGGTTATTTAATTACTTTGAAAATACCTGTAATGGCAATGCCATTTTCATAATGTAATTGTAATTTAATTAATTACATCATCATGTAATTGAACCCATACCTGTTACAAACAGTAGCTGTCCTAACTGATCCTAAAATTAACTTTGGCTACATCTATCACAAAATTAACTTTGGCTATGTCCATTACAAATGCCACATTTAGCTACAGTAGAGGTATTTCAAAAATGTACGTCATTGTAGCTGAAAGGACATAATTAATGGTTACTTAACCAGAACTACAGTTCTGAACAAACCACTACAAAGCCTGGTTAACTGTACTAAGAAAATGTCTTCTCAATTAATCAATTTCATTGATTATTGACATCTTATTGTTGTACTTACAGTCACTTGAGTTTCTTAAAGTTTCAATTTGACTTTTAATAAGGCCCAAAGTGATAATACTGCAATGTCTTAATAAGCTCTCGAGGGGTATTGGTTAGACTATTTATCCCATTTCATTCCATTCACCATGGAAACAAAACTCTAAAACGCTTAAAAACAGTCGACAATTTATGACAAATATTGAGTCTAGGGCTGTATAGAATTGATGAATCAAGTGTTGAACTGAAAGTGGAAGCAGTTGACATAATACTGAAATTTCTGAGATGAACAAATACAGTACATATATCAAAAGTTCAGGCATAATAAGAATTGTACCAATTACACTTTACACATTCACACTGGGACCTAACACTTTACGTATTCACACTGGGACCTAACACTTTGCTAGGTTTATCCTAATCTTTATTAAAACACTTTCCGGGATTCAGATGTCAATTGACATCTTCATTATTCCCAATCTTTATATTGCAATCGTTCACATGCATCACTCTTCAACAGAATCAACGAGACATCATGTCAGAAAGACAAAAACTAAATTTAAACTAAAACTATAACTTCACTTGTAAACCTTACAATTAGCATAGCTGTAGAGTTCCCGTAAGATTTCATACCCTGGCCTTGAGGTACTTCTAAATTATCTCCGATCAGAAATTTGAAAGAGCTAGCACGGACAATTCATTTCAAAACACTGAAATACTTTACGGAAGCAACAAAAATGTGTTAGATGCTTACATAGCATTTTTCAAATGCATACTGCTTCAAAGGAAAAGTCTTGAAAATATTTTGAAAAAAGTGCCATGGCGGCAGTGCCCAGCTTGCGCTTCGCCGTCGAGCCTAAATTCAATACATGCGATAGCTCATTTCAAATGAATTTTTGCAAAAAATGCAATTGCTAGTTCAGTATAAGTATTGACTTTAGATTCAGCTTATATATATAGTGATACTTACCTACATAAAATACCCGCCATCTTCTTTCTGCCGCCGTCTTCTTTCAGGGTCCAGCAGCAAAGAGCACCCCGGCTGTTTCCGTCAAAATTTTATGCTACTCTAAATCATTCTTATTTTAGTTTCATTCTTATTTTCAACTACATATTTCAGTATTTTCAAAAGTTTTCAACAGTATTAAACGGGATGAAAATTTTCGAACAAGAAAAAAAAGAAGGATATATGACACCCACAATGCATCGCGCGGAAGAGAAAGTTAAGCCGCAATATTGGCATCGCCTCGCAAAATTTACCACCATAAAACGTGAGTCTTTGTCATTGTATTTACAAATTTCGGTGTCTTATTATCATTAATACACAACACAAAACGTTTTCTTGATGTACAAGTAATGAAGAAAATGTCGATAAGGTTGTTTCATTTAATGACTAGCATCAGCAACTTGTAGGGGCGATAATCCAATGATTACGGTAATGTCCGGCAGATGGAGTAGGAGTAAACTTTCGATTTATGAACCAATGAAAACGATGTACTGATACTCGGGGCCAGGGGCGACAGCAACATGCTGAAGAGCATTGAAATGCTCTTAGGATAAAAAGCAATTTTGAGATGAACAACACTGCTGATATGATCACTGAATAGGTGAACCATTAATATACATCATCATGTAACTAAAACAGCATTTATTTTTTTCATCTGACCATACCCTGTTTAAACATTTGTTTTAAATGGCCTTATTCTACCTTTACAAGATTTTTCCTCACTAAATTTTATTTTTCAACCTTACCTTGTCCAAACTCTCCTCTTGGGATGAAGAATGCTCCAACACAAATAGCAACAAGAACAAGAATCTTTATGGCCCAGAAACTGGAATGGAAGTAAGTATACTCTACCTTGTTTCAATACATCATATGATACTTAAGTGCAGATTTTTTACAGATCATCAAGTATATTACATTTTCTTTATTGCTAAGCATTGTAAAATGAAGAATTTTCCTAAGATATGGAATTATGTAAATAGACCCTTAAATCTACATACGATACAACACCTGTCAAGTCGCAAGTTTTTGAAAGTTTATTTCCATAAATATTATTGTCCCAAACTAGTGATTTTTGAAAATATGAAAATTGCTGGGTTTTTCTCCCTACTTTATACAATGTGTTGATAAATACTGTACCCATCCTCGATACTCCAGCGGTTAAAACCACTTTTGCTCTTTGCACCCCTGGAATATGTCATGGTAAAAATAGAAGTTCTATGTGTGACACGTTGTGGACAAGATGGAAATACTAGTTTGATCCTTTGATGTACATCAAACAAATCTTGAAGTCACATAACAGTATGCTTGTCATGGGTTTGAAATTGAGTGTTGTTTGTTTGTAATCTTCAAAAGGAGTATATCAGCCAGTGATTGGTCAGTTTTTTCCTCCTGGAACCAATCAAATTACTTCACTTGTAACTTTAATTTTGCCATGACCTGTTCCAGGGGTACAGAGAGCAATAGTGATTGTTACCCTTGGAGTATCGAGGATGTAGTGATCGTAACTCCTGAAATAACGAGAATGTGGTAATTGTAATCCCTTGAGTATCAAGGATGAATAGATTGTTACCCCTCAAGTATCGAGGAAGTAGCGATTGTAACCCTTCAGGTATCAAGAATGGTTCCAGGGTTGTAGAGAGCGATAGTAACTGCTACCCCTGGAGTATCGAGCATGTACCGTACCATGCATGAGGTTGTGTTTAATCATAAACAATGAAGGAATTGGATCAACATTACATAACAGTGATAATATCCTTTAGGTACAAGACTTTTACGCTGGAGATCTCCAGAAATGGCTAAAAAAATTATAGTCACATGATTTATATGATCATTGATTCCTTTGCTAATATATATATATATATATCCTGATCTGTAATTCACTGTTACTAATAACAGCACTGAAAACAAGATAAATGCAGCAATTTCCTACAGAAGTTGATTGTTGATCATAATTTTCTTAAGATTACCTCACCGCAAAAAAAAATGAGAAAAAACAAAATAAAAAACTCAGATCTGTTAACCTTCTTTTTCCCCAACAAAATTCTAACATATTGTTATCCAATAAGTCAGACTGGCACACACACACTTCCGACGAAAAAAACAGATCAAATGTTGACAAATTGCCATCATTAGACATATGACAGCCTAGTGGTTAAGGTCTTTGATCATCTTCATCATCAGCTACTCACCCATTCTGTATACCAGCCCTTGGATCCTTGGAGGATTTCACATTGATCATGATGATGGCAAAGAGTAAGAAGAATGCAGCCATAGCAAAGCAGATTCTGTATACAGACAGGTAGCCAACGATATCATCGCACATGGACGCCTTGTCGTCGGCGTGATCCGCCGCGAAAATGTCATAAGTGAAATAGTCCTTACATAGCCCAGGTATCTATAATAGGAAAAGAAACTAGATGTATACGTAAGACAGGCCAAGGAATGCATCCAATCCTCTCAAACTTTCCTATAAATAGAATAGATAATCTATATATAGTACAAACTAATATACCACCAATCTGTACTTCTAGAAATGGAGGTAAATGTAGTCAAACCAAAGGCGATCACAATGAACCAGAAACATACAGAAAATGATAATGTGTTGGTATGTCATAACGTTATTATATTATCTAACATGAAAACACATCTCAATATAGTGAAAGTTACCTTTACAAATAACACAATTGTGAATGTTATTACATCTTCCAAAGGATCTCCGGGCAAAAGAAGAAATCCAAGTAATTTTTTATTTCATTTTACGAAAGAAATCTTTGGTATATGGATAAGGTGTAATGTGTTTGCCTGAAATACAAGCAAATCCAAAATACTCTATCAGTAACTTTTGGTTTTCAAATATTTGAGTCCTGGACTTATGCTTTTCCTGTGGGACTCACAGAAATTTTGAGAAACCAACATGTAACCCTGGTAAAATACTAGCCGCAATATACCACTCGGCTAGAGAGAACTTCTCTTTAGCTCGATTGGTTGAGCGTCAGACTAGTAAGCCAGGGGTCCCAGGTTCGATTCCTAGCGGAGGCATTGAGATGAAAAATTACCTCTGTTACATTGGCGCCCATGTAGGGACCCGGGATTAGTACTTAGCCATGCCCCATCGGCATCGCTGTAACCCCTGGAAACTCGAGGACGAGTTATTTCCTGGAGGGGGAGTATGTAACCCTGGTAAAATACTAGCCGCAATATACCACTCGGCTAGAGAGAACTTCTCTTTAGCTCGATTGGTTGAGCGTCAGACTAGTAAGCCAGGGGTCCCGGGTTCGATTCCTAGCGGAGGCATTGAGATGAAAAATGACCTCTGTTACAAACATATCACTTAGTATTGGGTCTCATCAAACATTTGGAAATGGTCTTCTATACTCAATTGAAACAAGAGAGCCACAGATCATAACAGTCATCTGACTACAAAAACTTGAACATGGAGAAGGGTTAATTTTTCTACTTTGAACAAAATCTTACTTAGAAGGTTAAATGCAGATGGTAGTTTGGTGAGGATTAGGTAACTGTAACAAGTGTTACCTATTTTTTGACAATTAAGTTGGAGATTAATCCAACTATTAATACTTGTGAAGAAGTTTGAAATAGGTGCTGCATAGGAAAACCATGACTGTGCAATCATGTTACAAAATGGCCTCTCTGACTGCTGTATTGAAGTTTGAACAATGTTGAAAAATAACAACACTTTGTTGGATACCTTCCCTTAACATTTCCACCAATTTTTAGCACCAGTGGAACATGAGAAGTTTAAAATATGTTTTTCAAGATGGTGGCCATTTTGGAAGTTTGTCCATTAGAATCCATTATTTACTGAAGAGATATAGTGGGTTGTCAAAATTTGGATGAGTCCTACATGATCATGGGTCTAGGCCTCTGATATCCGAATCCCAAAAATTATAAAGGACACACACATATATATATCTGGCACTTAAAAATGAAGATGACTTTGTTATATACTGACCTTATCTAGTGCTCCTCGAAGACCTGGAGCCAAGAAAATACAGGCGATAATGCTTCCAACAATTAGAACAAGAGAGTAACCAATCCGGGTAGCAGTTGAATTCTTGCATGATGGACAGGCAGCACAGCACAGACTGCAAGCAGCACTTCCACAGCAGCAGGCAAGCTGAGAAAAAATAACAGAAATGTTATACAGTATCGGACAATATCATACAGACAGCAGTGATCCACAGACTGCATCCAGCAATACAAGTTAACTACATACAATAACACATTATCACTTACACTGACCAATGTAACCCTGGGTACCTTTTACTTACTTGATTTATTGAGAATCTTCAATGAGCTTAGTTTCAAAGCATCTAAATCTTAACTGTCTAAACCGTATCACCATTGTAGGATATATATATAAATGGATGTGTTAAAAACAGAAAGTCATTGAATTGTGACAAGAACAAGTTCAAGTAATTAACAGGATTATACTTCATACTTTATGGGATACCATGGCTACGTATGATTAAAAAACTACTTAGTCTACAATTCATGAAATATCTGCATTTTTTTTAAATTTTAATATGTCATTCCAAGAACTTGACATATTGAAATTAAGTCACATCGAATTTTATTAGATCATATGTAAACAGTTCCTGAATATGACACTATACTATGAAAAGAAACACACCATACATATAAAACTAGGAAGTTAATCAAAATACACCGTATCAGGCTATATATATGTATATATATAATTTACCCATAATACTATACTAAGTTATGACGCAAAAATACTTAATCAAATAATCATCATTACTTATCAACCTAAATCAATACTCACCGAGCCTACTATACACCCCATGTTCTTTGTACCAGTTGGACACTAAGATATTTTCGAATTCAAATGTAATAATTCAGTTCAAAATCCTGTGATGGTTAGTCATCAAATGTTATTTGTTTACGTTTTGCAAATGGCGCATGTGAAACCTAATGCAGAAACAATCACCGGAAAAGGAACTAACCGGATTTTATTCAAACATTTCATGGAAATTTGAAGGTGTACGGGAACACATTTAGATTGTAGAAAATATCTTTTTAATCATAAAGTAATGAAGGAATAAAAAATAGAAGTAATGGGTTGTGTTGTCGCAAAGACATGTATACAGGATGGTTTCCAAAAACATACTGTACTCGTAACTGTTACATTTCCGGATAAAAGTGGGATCCGGTGGCATAAAAAATGTAGTTAAAACATAACAGTATATTTTGTCACAAATTTCCTTCTTAAAGAATACACGACATCCTGGTTGACATCTACAAACACCAAAATATACCTACTCCTCCTTTCCCCACATTCTTTATATCATATGGGAAACAAAGTTTTTAATTAAAAACAATGATACCATCCTTTATATATTTGCGTTATGTACATCACAACTCGTAATATTATCACATAGAAATAATCGTCTATACTGATGATATAATTAACAAAAATGAAGAAGAATCCACAAAACAGCAATTATCCTCACGTATTGGTAATTTCTCAACACATTTATTTACATAAAATTATTAAACTATCTGACATGGCGTCATTTTTTTCTTCTTCTTCTTGGAACGACATTGCTGTTTATCAAACTATTCAGATATAAATTCCACAAGTCTGTTGTTTAATATTGAATTAAATAGTTTCTCAAGAAAATTGATTATAACCATGTATCTGTGGTTGATAGGTAGCCAATCAGAGTCCACTTAAATTATCTACCCTTCTTTGTTGACGCTCTCAATGCTTTCAAGGGGTGTTCTTTGAATGCCAACATTTTCTTTGGACAATAGGGAAGGTGTTGTTTCAGGAAACAATTGCAAATCAATTATATATTGGTTCCTATTAAGAGTGCATTTTTCCCCCGGTGGATGGTTGGTGGGAAGACGCCACTTTGTCTCTTGTTTCATTATCATGCTAGATAATTTCTTCATTACGTCATATCCTGTCGCATACCACCATGCCATATTGAGTGACAGTACTCCTCCTCACTTTCTCCTATGACACTGATACCAACAGGTTAATCACCCTGTTCACGTAACCATAAAGAACATCGGGTTCATCTTGTTTCTCACCAGACATTTTGATATATAATGTATATATAATGTCTAAGATTCGGTATAGGGGACAGGGAAACTTGGACTTCATGGAAATACAAGTCGATAGTGTCTCTAACAATTCTTATCTATCTATTATATAAGTTAATTTATTTATATATTTATTTTAGTCTTGTGTGTGTTTATATATATAAACATACACGTGTTGTATTAAGTGTTTTTATATGAAATTATTATATCACGCTTTTTGTTTATATAAATCCAAAGAACACAGTTCTAGAAATATTCTCGTAATATAAATTGATTTTTCTATTAGTGATGTTTGATGAACTTCTTCCATATCTTTTTTTTTTTTACATTCAAGAATACAAATGATTGTGATCTTCGATGAACTCTAGTGCACGTCTCGGGGGACATGTATCCTACACCCTGACATGTGAAAAAGTCGTTATGACATGGTCCTTATGTTCAACGATATTTAAAGCTTTATGTAGTTTAGCAGGTACCCATACATTTATTGTGAAACTGTTTTAACAGAGGACTCCGATTTGATCGATATGATTTCAACACATTGACAATTTCACTTATTGCGTTGTTTAACTACTGTATAAAATGGTAATATTACCTTCCGAAATGGCGATTGGAAACCCGTAGATTCATTTATTGTCAAATTTATACTTTACACAAAACGCTTGGAATTATCTTGGCCGAGTTTCCCCAGTCTCCTACGCCGGACTTCTTACACCGGTCAGCTGATCATAGATTATGATGACCTATTTAGATCGTCCTTTGTCCATCGTGCGCTGATGTTTCCTTATAAGTATGGTCACTTGAATAAGTACAAACGGATAATAAAGAAGCTTCTTATTCAGCCTTTTATCAATAAGATCTCTAATGAGTACAGACCGATGTTGCTTACAGTTATGACCTTTGTAGTTTTAAAATTTACCTGGTCATAACGATTAAAACGCATTCCGGGAAAGGCAAGTCCAAGTTTCATGATGAATTGTCTGCTTTTTATATCCTGTCAGAATGTTTGAAAAAACAGACAGCACATCATAAAACGCTGGCCATGAAATGGCTAATCATTTCGGAAATAGCAGGTCTTTTGTATACACATATTGATATGTGTATACAAAGGACCTGCCATTTACTAAATCGTAGGCATCGGTTCAAGCAACATAACCGTTAATAAGGCAATCTTCAACTAGTACAAATGTTGTTTAATATTTGATCAGCATATCAATTGAAGCCATTTCTACAACAGAAGTTCAGGTAGCCATTCAGGCTCATTGACCTCTTGTTATATAGTTGTCAGTGGACTGCGTCTATGTCTGACCATCAAAATGTCCAACATCGGGTTTAAGAGCTTGAAAAACTTGGTAAAAGAAATAGATTTCGAAAGTTCATAAAAATATTGCACGCCCGGTATTGGAGACAAAGGAAAATCTGGACACAAACTCACAAAATATATGCATGTCAAACCGCCTTACACCGTTCAATGTCCGGAGGAAATTCGGACTAGGAAGTTGAATATGTGCACCTATTTTATCAATTCAAAACGTTTAGTGTTATGTTTACCAACTAAATGTTATCATATTATCAAATTTGTGTGTTATCTTACAAAGATTTTCAATTTCATTTTTATTCAACATATCATGGAGACCACACATTTTGAACCATTGTAAGTTGTTTTAGCGGCAAAAATAACTTATAATGGTTCATGATGAGCAGACGACGAGGAGGGGCCGTAGGTTTAGGGGGTTGCTAGGTACGCCAACTTGGATTTCCGTTGCTAAGGAAATACAAGATGGCGTACTCTGTATCCCGAACATTTCAACCGGTAATCTCTACCCTGTGCACTGTACCTTTTTCCCCGTACTCTGTACTCTATATCCTTTATCCACATCATTCTTACCCTCGACAATCTATCCCGTGCTCTGTATTCGGTATTTTTTTTCTCTTTCTATTCTTACTTTGATGAAATATAAAAACAAAATTGAATTCCAAATGAAGTAAGATCTATTCACAAATGAAGGATGTTTTACCAGGGGTCACCAGCTTTCCACTATGAATCTTGCGCCAAAAGTTTCGCCAAACTTGATAATTTTTCCGCCAAATTAGGTATTTGGGATCCAAATATGGATGAGTTAAAAATAATCTTTAAATAATATTAATTACTGGGAATAAGAATAGCAGATATTAATTTCAAAATTGATATCAACGCATTTAAAATATGTGTGTGTTCTTGATTATTGTGCAGACTTTTATTTATAGAGTGTTCATGGTATTGTACGTCGTTTACTAAAAACTCAAATATTTTCCGTACAAAATATTAACTTGGAGTAATTATTTTTTTTGTGATAATTTTGTCTAAATCATACTGAAAAAAAAAATTTTAACCGAAGATGTGTAAAAAAAAAAAAAATCATTCCTGAATTTGGGTCCGGGTCCATTTTGGTATTACGTAACTAATTCCATTTACAAACTTCCTGTTAGACAACAATTACGATTTGGGCGAAGATAGAGGAAATATATATTTATTACATAACTGCTTTAGAACTGTAAAATCGGCTATATCTTAGCATCGTCCGGTTTGGGAGAATTTCAACCAGACGTTGAAAATGCTAAACTATGTCAGTTCATTTTTCATTCGGAGCCTCTCGGAGTGTTCCATCCTAATTTTATGAAGGTTGGAAGGGACTCCTATATGGTTACAATAACAATCAAAGTACTGAAAGTACTGAGAGGCTAAACGTATTGAAAAATGTTCACAAATAACCGCAAAGCTATATTACTTTCCCCATACTCCTACACTTTGGAATGCAAAAATTACTAAAATAAGAGAACCAGAGGCTATTTTTCTTAATTTTAAGCGATTTTATATCTTCTTCAATTCTTATTTCAAATTTGACGATAATAATGTGAACAAATCAAAATAGGTAAAAAAAATAACAAAATACACACAACCATGTATTTATCGCCATCAAGCCAAATGATAAATAGCTCTATGATGAAGTTGACTAAATAAAACCTTTGAAATACCCAAGATGTTGCAATTACTCTCCTATCAATATGAGGATTTAGACAAATCGAAAGGACTTTATACCTACTTCTTTATTTTAAATGTACTGCAAAGTAATAGCCCTTACTTATTATAATTATATTTGTAGTTGAGGAAAGTAAATAAGGTGTACACAGCATTTCAGATAGATTAAAGTGTAAGTAATTACATTAAATGTATTTACATGCCTATCTTCCTTGAAGTATCATGGTTAGACTTTTCTTGCAGTAATTATGTCTATAAAGACATAGTTCTTTGAGATTAAACCAGACTTCCATATATATACAAAATTTACAATATTTTCACTATAGCTACTACTATTTCTGATCTCCAATGCATTAGATAATGTCACCATGACACGCTAAATGAATGAATATGTTATGGAAATATTTAGTTCTAGTTAATTGATAATTATAAACATGAATATTTTGGGGTTTTTTATACGCGCTTTGTTTGAAGGAATATTTTCATTTCAAGGAACTTTGATACACATTAACAAACCTTGAGAAATCAGCACAATCAACCTTCATCAAATAAAACTAAAAGGCAAAAAATATAAGTTATAACAAAGTCAACATCATGATCAGTACAGTATTAAAAATATACCATTCATAAATCATGAGCACCAATTGTACCTTGCCGACGAAGCGCAAACTTTTTATCTTCAAAAACTTGAAAAAGTGTCATGACGGTGGGTGTGAAAAACCTGAAAAAGTGTCATATCGGCGGGTGTGCGCGTGGGACGAACAGTCCAATTCGGTGACGTCTAATGAGGTAAAGTGATGTTATATATTAAGACGGTCTTG